TTTTTTTTTTTTGAGACAGGGTCTTGCTCTGTCGCCCAGGTTGGTATGTAGTGTCATGATCATAGCTCACTGCAACTTCCAACTCTGGGTCTGAAGCAATCCTCCTGCCTCAGCCTCCCAAGTAGCTAGGACTACAGGCATGTGCCACCACACTTGGCTATTAAAAATTTTTTTTTGTAGAGACAGGGTCTTGCTATGTTGCCCAGGCTGGTCTCGAACTCCTGGGCTCAACTGAGCCTCCTGCCTTGGCCTACCAAAGCACTAGGATTACAGGCATGAGCCACCACGCCCAGCCTAAATTTATTTGATGGAACTTAAGAAACATTGTCTACCTGTGTTACTGCTATCATGGCGAGAACGGTGTAAAGTTCTTCTTTAGTAAGTTTTCCAGGTGTAGTTCGATTAGCTAAGGCCCATATCTGTCCAAGAGTTTCTCTGGGAAGTCCAGATGACATCAGAATGGGATAAAGTTTAGCAGTATCTATTCCAGTTGGAGTCACTGTGGTTTCTAAAATTTTCTTATAGGCATCTATTAAAGGAAAGACCACATTACAAATGTAAACACATTACAAGTGATTAATCTTTTTTGTTGTCATTGTTGGTATACAAGAATAATCTTAAATCAAACTGCTTTAATAGAACTGAAGCCACATCAGGGTTTGAATTCCTGAAAAGATATTCTAGTGGGAATATCCAGGAGACAATTAGAGTCTGGAGCTTAGAAGACAGGTTGGAGCTTGGTCCTAAAGATAAAGATTTAGAGCAGACGGTAAGATAAAGTCTTATAATTCAGTAGAAGATTGTAACAACAAGATGAAGGTGGTAAAAGCAGAGTAACAATGGTGGGAACAGTTTGTAAATAACAGGAAGTAAGAATTATACCAACACCACTCTTTTGACCCAATGAATAAAAGGCTGTGAGAGAAAACACCATCGGTGAAAGTGCTATGGAAATAGAGCCTTCAAAGAAAGACCTGATTTCGGTTAAGGTGAGGAAGCAGAACAGGTGTTTGAAAAAAGAAAGGTACTGTTGGTGAGTTTTTCACAATAATCTTGGTTTTCCAAAGGACAAAGTGGGAAAGGCTGTTAGAGATAGAGTTGCCATATAAAATAAAGAATGTCAATATTGCATGGGACATACTTACACAAAACAATTATTTGCTGTTTATCTGAAATTCAAATTTAACTGGGCATCCTGTATGGTTATTTGCTAAATCTGACAAGCCTGGTTAGTTGTTGTTGGGATGAGG